CATGAAAATAAAGAAAACGCATTGAATGAGAAGGTGTGTCCAAACTTTTGGCCTGTACTGTACATTGACTAAAACTCTGTGGTTGTTTCTATGGGTGTGTCTGTTCCACATTTTTCTCCTCACTGACTTGGTCAATCCATTTGAAATTTGGCACAGTGGTAGAGGGTCATGGGAGGATGCAAATGAAGCAAAATTACATCAATTGGCCAAAGGGGGGCGCTACAGCAACCGACTGAAATTGCAAACTTTGAACGGGCATATCTCATGCCCCATATGTTGTAGAGACATGAAACTTTGCACAGAGATGCCTCTCCTCATGAGGAACAAATTTGCATCAAGAACCCATAACTTCCGGTTATACAGATTTTCCGCCATTTTGAATCTTTTGAAAAACACTTCAAATCGATCTCTTCCTAGGAAGTTTGACCGATCTGCATGAAACTCTGTGAACATAATCTAGGGACCAATATCTAAAGTTCTCTCTTGGCAAAAGTTGGTAAACTTACTAAAACTGAGCTTCTATGAGGCAATGAATATTGCGGAGCGCGTGGCTCATCACATAAAGGTGTATAACATCTCAAGGGTTTCACCGATCACCACGCAACTTTGTAGGCATATGACCACACATAATCTGAGGGGACCCCTCCATCATTGACCCGATCAAACAAAATGGGGGCGCTAGTGAGCTAATTTCTTATCTAGGCCTAACCGCCATATCGATTTTTTGCCTATATTTGACAGGACAGTGAAGCATGACAGGAAGGATGGGAGAGAGAGAGCAAGGAAGACATGCAGCAAAGAATGAAGGCCAGATTCCAACCCCCACCCCTGCAACAAGGGCTAGCCACACCTTTCCCATGTGAATTACCAGTGTGCCACACTTATAAGTCAATACAACATATAAACACTTGAACTATCTGCCTCTCAGTGTGCTACCTCAACTGGTAATGTACAGTTTTAGCCCACTAACTATCCCACTATTGGCAATGGTACTACTGTACTTTCAATACAGCAATCGTACTATCAAATTCACAAAAACTCTGTCTGAATACGTTGCACTTCTTAATGGGTTCAGTTGACTATTTAATCTGCAATTTCCTATGACCTGTATCCTGAACACACACCATGTGAAACTGTACGTGGGCAACTGCGCACTCAGTTGGTATGGACTAGTTGATAATAATTCTAATTATTATTACATTATTATTAGTTACTCTGTTAAAATATAGTAATGTAAAAATAATTTTAATTACTCCATCAAAGTAATGTTACTTACCGTAAAACTTCAATTAAAAGCCCGGGCTATTATGTGCTTAAATCACTGAAATCAAAAGGCCTATATTTGGGACAGGTGTCTATACAGGACAGACCTTAAAATACTAACTAACACAAAACTGTTGCTCAGCAAAGATGGGAAACACAATCCCATTGTTTATTTAATCTAGTATTAATATTACTTGTATAAAAATTTGACTTAAGATAATACATCAGTTATGAATCATTCATTTGATCTAACTCCAACAGACATCAGGGGGAGAGACGTATGACATTTGAGGATTACAGCATACTGACACAACACTGCTTTATCCTGTTTTAACAATACTCACAACTTGAATAAATTTTTATGAAAAACCCTTTTGATTCTTTTGATTTGAGGACACTGGACACTAACTACTAAAGGAAACTAAAAGGAACATAAATAATTAACAGGGTAATTGAAGAATGGACACATAATGCGAGGTAGCTGACAACCTGCTATTTTACATCCAAAGAACTGTTGTGAAAAAAANAAAAAGAAAAAAAAAAAGAACTGCTTGGCAACCAGACCATCTGATCGAGACAGGCTTTTATTTAGTGCTGCATGATTTGATAAAAATGTGCGATTGCGAATATGGTGGACAATATCGCGATTTGCGATTACAATATAATTACAATAAAATATAATAAATAAATGGTATCATGAATCTTTTTGCTTGATTCAGTGTTTCCCCTACATTATATCAGGGGGGCACTGACCTGACATAGTTATTGTTATGAACAGACAGTGTGTGTCAATGACCATCAACAGACTGAGCACAGTCAAACACGCTGCTCACACAGCAGCGCAGCACGGAACTGTACACACAGCGGAGCGAGCATATGTTGCGTTCAGGCGTTGTCACGTAAATGACAAATTTCAGCACGCCATAGCACAACACAGCAGCATGTCAAGTGGGCCGAACCCGAGCAAAATTGCTCAGTTTTTCATTTGTTATGGAGTCCATGATATCCCTGTGGCACTTACAAATGTTTGCTTAACTGTGCTTGGATGTTGTTGTATGAGGCTCTGGCGGCTTTCAGTTGTCTTTGTCTTTAACGTTACATGGCTCGGCTTTCTCTCGCATGCACTCTTCCTACTTTTCCCTGTGCTGTGCTGTCTCAAGTGCTGATATAGATTGGTCGTGTTGCCGCGGGACGTGGCGACTTTAACTTTTAAACTTTTACACAGCACGTCTTTCTGTTCAACGTCGCCGTATCTGAATCCAAAGTAGCGCCATGTAACAGACGTTTTTTATGCCACCAACTCAGCCTGTTTTTGGTTGAGCTCATGCTCTTCTCCAGCGTCTGTGTTGGTCACTGCTGCACGCCGGCTGCACGCACCAGGATAGCTTGTGGGCGTGATGTCAACAAACTCCATACACTACAGGAGAGGCAGTCACGTTCACAGGCACACACGTTAACATTTATTTAGCCTACATTAAATCGCAAATCGCAGTCTTTTATGCAGTTATGTAATCGCACAGCCTGACATCGCGATTGCGATTAGATTAATCGTGCAGCACTACTTTTATTTGTTAAAATGTGTAGCCACACTGGGCTAGTAAAAGGGACTTGGCTTTTAATCACAATTTTATGGTATTACATTAGATTACTCTGTGATTACTTTTTTAAAAAAAATGGCTTAAACTGGCAATAAAGCTCAAAAAATGTCAGGAAATACACATAGTTTGGGTAGTCTGCAAGTGCACAAGGCTGCCCAAATTTACAATTCATCAAAGTTCCGCAAAATGTACTATATCACAATATATCATGCACTAACATTTCAAAAAAATCTTTAGAGTTTACTTTTAATTGCTATTCTACTATGTATTATTGTATTATTATTCACAGGTCTGGGTTTAAAATCGATTTTAATTTATGAGTTCAAAGTTTTTCTGGCAAAACTAATTGTGATAATATCACATTGGGAGTTAGGCTCTGATTTTCCTGTACACCACACTGTGGCTATGTAATATAGTTCAGCTGGTTCTCTACAGTAGCTTACCAACCACAAACCACACTAGGGCTGAACGATATGGAGAAAATTTCATATCTCGATATTTATGCCAGATATCTCGATACCGATACGATATGACTATGGGTTCAGTGAAAACTAAGCATTCTTTATAAAAAATTAAAAAAAAAAAAAAAATGAGTCCGAACCATTTTCTGGAAGCCCTCTTTAGTGACTGAATACACGGGAATCATGTGTAGTAATATGGTACGTTATAGCATTTGTAATATCTTTGTGCCTGCTGGACGTCGATTGGTATGGCATTATGCTACTGAATGCATCGGCAATCCGACCTTGCTTGGGCTTGACACAGGAGGACCCAGATGTCCCTGCCGTGTCTTTTAATGCAAGGCACTGTTCATACAGTCCTCGGTAGTGTTGTCACGGTACCAAAATTGGGACCCACGGTACGATACCAGTGAAAGTATCACGGTTCTGAGTAGTATCAGGATACCACAGCCAAAATGAGGCAGATGTGCCTTTTGTCATTTATAAAAAGATAAATCACTTTTCTATAATACATCAATGATATTTCAATGGAATAAATTACTTATTGACTTATTCATACTTCAAAAACAGCATCAATCAGTGATTAACATAGGGGGGATCAAAATAAAATAAAAAAATAAAATAAAAATCAACCAGCCACCCTCCTCCCCTGACAAGTAAAGAACAGTCCCTTCATAAGTAAAGAACAGTCCCTAAAGTGCGGTGAGGTTTGTGGAAATGTTAACGGCTCGTTTCTCCTCTGACACGTCACATACCTGTGTGCCGCTACGGCTCGGCTGTTCCGGTACTACTGGGCAGTCATGACACCAACTTATTCACCTGGAGCCGGGCTTCTCGGTCGCCGGTAGCCTCGCGTCACCAGGCTCTTCACGTACGGCGAAACGCCGGTAAACCACGTTATCTTGCGGCGGCCATAGCGCTCCGCCGTATTCCCGTCTGTGACCCCCGTTCAACCCACAACCGGTAAGTTTCGCCTTTCGTTTCTGCTGCTGGTTGAAATCTGTACTCACACAGCGTGCTGAATGATTTAATTTGCTCGAACAAAACTATTTTTAGTCGCAAATGTGTTGTGTGTACTAGCAAGTTGCTAGCAGCAGCACGTCTCCCTCGCTCAAGGGGATGTTTGTGATTGGCTGGCTTTGTTGTCGATCCAAGGCAAGCAGGAAATGAGGTTTGTGATTGGCTGGCCGTAGCTGTACATTTAGGGCAAGCGTAAAAAGGATGTTTGTGATTGGCTGAGCTGTACATGCAGGTCAAGCTGGGGAAACTCATGGGGAAATTATATCGTCAATATCGTTGCCTTTTGGGATATTAATATCTTGCATGTTCATATCTCGGTATAGATACGATAACGATATATCGTTCAGCCCTAAACCACACATGCTCAAATCCTTACAGGATATAAAATCTAAGAATTATTTGGAAGAAGTTGGTAACTGTTGCTCATCACCTAGAGGTTTTACATCAATAAATGCATGTTACCATGACAAAGCATCTGACACACACTAAGCAAATATTGTGTCTTTTATGCTATTGTTCAAATCAAAGGGGGATCTCCATGAGCTCAGTATCAGTAGAACTTTCAGGAAGCTTCAGTAAAGGTGACTCATTTGCAGTAGACGTGTTTGAACAAAAATCAGCTAATAATCATTGCTCAAAGGTTAAAGCAGTAATTTACCCTGATGGTGTCCAGCTCCTAGCCATTCCCCCTGATGACCTCATCAACACAGCACTCTTAGCGCCACCTCCTAGTCCTTCAGATCCTGCTCCTGAAGAGGACGAAGAGTTTAGCAGATTTTTAAGGATCTCCAGGTTTAAATTCTCCCGTTTGCTGCTGCTGCTGCTTGTTGCACATGTGTCTGACTTGGCATTGTTATTGGATGCTTTGAAAGGTATCCCCCCTCCATTTCCTCCTCCACCGATCCCAGAGCCTCTTTTGGAAAGGAGGGTGTGACCGACGGGAGGCTTAGCCAGTACAGGTGGTTTGATTGGCTCCTGCTTGGCGTTGATAACTTCCTGGCTTTTAACATACTTGGCCTTGTCAGCTTCTAGTCTTTCAACGGCACTGAGGCGCTTTGGGTTAGGTTCCACCTGAGACACAGATCAAAGATAATATGTTAATAATCACAACACTCAACCATATCTATACATGGGAACTCAATATAGCTGATCCAGTCTGTTTGTCACACAAATCTTCTTGCCTGCAGCACAGGAGATCTATACAATCAGCAGTTTCAATGTGGACACCCAAGATCTGAGTCAGCAATTTAATATCTGACCAAATGTCTCCTCTTCTGTTCCTGAGATATGACACTGAATAGTAGCCAGAAAAGTAGTTTTGATCTGTGTACACCAAAATCTAATCAGTTCATTGTTGAGGTCAAGTGGACTTTTGTGCCAAATTTGATGAAATTCCATCAGGGCGTTCTTGAGATATTTCGTTCAAAAGAATGGAATGGATGTACAGACAGATGTATAGACGACATACGAATGGACAGAAATATGGATGACCAGCCAACCCGAAAACATAATCCCTCCAGCCTCAGCTATCACGCGAGGCATAAAATTCCCTGCTGTTTTGTTATGTAAAAGTTGATAGTTGAAAAATGTTGAGTTTTTATCAGCAGTAACTGCTGATAAGCATTGACTGACTGACACGTTCACATCTTCACACCTGCGGGTAATTTAGAGTCAGCAATTAGCCTTACCTGCATGTCTTTAAATTGTGGGAGGGTTAGGATGTCCATCCTCCACAATGAAAGACCCCCTGCCTAAAGGGCACGTGAGTGTGCTTGAAATATCTGTATGGATTCTGATGATTGTTACCCTCGTATTAATTGGTGCTGAAACCATATTAACAGATAATTGACTACACACACACACACACACACACACACAGAGCTAATTCCACAGAGCAATGTAACAGTACCTGTCTCCTGAAGTAGTCAGGGCCCTTATTGAGGATGCGGAGGGGTACGGCGGAGCCGAAGGCCGTTGCAGGGCCAGCGGCCTTGCTATCTGGCAGGGCTGGAGCCAGAGTCTCTGTCGGCATGGCAACAAGGCGACTGGGGTGGCCGGCCGTGGTGGCAGCGGGTGCGGGGGGGTCGACAGAGGGCGGGGGTACCGGAGGACCCCCAAAACATGAAGACACAAGGTGGAGAAGAGAAAGTCTAGAAAGAGATGAACCCCCTGGCCCTCCTCATCATCTGTGGGACCCTGTGGTACTAAGCCAGACTCTGGGCTGGGGGGCTGATGAACCGCTGTACTCAAATATACTACTGCATTGCCAGAGTAGGATGATCTCTGTCTGCAGCTCTTCAACCTGAACAACTGATTTCACTGGTGTTTTACTGAGACGTCTGCTGATCATCAAAATAGATTGAAAGTTGGATGGATAGAGAGAGAACAAGTGCAGTGACAGAATAGGAAGGTGGATAAAGAGAGATGAGAGTGTTTCAGTGCAGTGGTGTGGATGAGTGCTCACACAGCAAAAGGAAAAGAAGAGTATGGTGGGAAAGGAAAGCCCTGCCGCCTCTCCACGCTTGCTTCAGTTCTCCCCTCAGCTCAGCACACTATCTGAAACAGGCAAAAAAAAGGAGTGACAGAAACAGCCAATGGGGTTAGAGTTAGACTGTGACATCACGCACCTAGCAACAATAGCAGGAATAGCCAGGACATACATACTGGACACACACACACACACACACACACACACACACACACACACACACACACACACACCCTGCTGGCTGTGTAATGCATGCTACAAGGTACCACTGTGTAAAGGAAGCTGACTGTGTAAAGTACCAGGTGGTTAATGAACACAAAAATCAGATGACATACATTACTTAAGTACAAAAGTTTTCTTTTAAATATTTACTCATGCTGGATAAATGACGAAACACTAAGTTGTGTTCCAGAGAGAGCCCACATTCCCACTGGAACTGCCCACTCAATCACTTTGTGGTCACTGAAGAGCTCCACTACAGCAGTCGGGACCTCAGTGCTTTGCTCAAGAGCACCTTAGGGGTGGTATTTGTGGTGAGAAGACCAGGCTAAATAAAGACGCACAACTCTGTGGTCATAACTAGTGGTGCCCCCACAAATGTTTCATAGGGGTGGCCTGATGGGGCCACAGTAGTGTATCCACCTTATTTTCAAACACGGAAGTAAATAGTGATCAACTTCCGTGTTTTTGTGTGTAATGGTGCAAGCTAATTTTTTTCAATTTTCAGTTGTTTATGTTAGTCAATCAGTTAGTTAGTTAGTTAGTCTGTGTATTTTATATAGATAACTGTGCCCACGTTTCCGTTATCCGGTAATTGCCGGTAAAAATAATTTAATTTAATTTAATTTAAATGCGAATAAATCGCATGTCAATCAAAAACTATGAACCAAAAAAGCACAATCTATCCCGAGTGAGACAAACTGCTTGATCCACGTCTCCAGTGTACCAGCAGAGAACCTGCAGAACCGAATCAGCGAAAAAACACACCGGGCTACACAGCCTCTCTACCTGAGCAGCTGAAGCTGCGGCTCGCACCCTCAACACACAGACACACAGATTGGTGCTTCTGCATGCCAGCCAAACGTGTGCGCAACTGTGAGAAATAAATATGAGGTGTACGCTGCTTTTCTATGTTTTTTTTCCCTTTTCTTTCTTTCTTTCTTTCTTTCTGTCAGTGATATACACTCCTAACACAGGACGGGTTGTTTTTTTATTGACTGAGTTGATTATTAAGCCATAGTGATGCACGGATCGGCTCTGATAGCACCCGAATCAGCATGTACGCATCAACCATCCAGCCGTTACAACATGATTGAGCTAGCAAAGCAGTTTTGTGTTGCAATGTGTGGTATTTATTCAGTTTTGTGAAATCACGATGTCTAGAAAGCATCAGTGGCTGCAGCTGACTGGGACAGCTAACAGCAGCAGCAGCAAAGCTAACATCAGGACGTCATCTGTCAAAAGCCTCCCGTTGTCGGATACGACATGAAACTACTCCAGTTAGCTCAATCTTGTTGTAACTAAGACATCCGCTGGCAAAATTTTTTTTTTCCACGGACCGTTTATTGAGTTATTACAGACACTGCTAACGGCTAACAGCTAACGATTAGCCCAGCTAATCTACGATAACAATGTTATTAATTACACACACAGAAATAGTAACGTTTGTTCAATCATTGTGTTTATAGACTTTACAAACATCAGATTAGTCTAAACGGTGATATAGCGACGTGAAAAATGTGAGATATATATATATATATATATATATATATATATAGCTAAACTCAACAAGGTAAACAACAAGGCGATTCCCATTTACACAGTGGTCAAGAGTGCTGGACCGGAAGTGTCGCACAAAAAAACGGAAGCTGGCTGCGTTCTGTTTTGCCTCCGTGTTTCCGTGAAAAATAAGGTGGATAGGCTAGTTGAAAACAATGTAAATATGATAGATAAGGTACAGCGTACTGATACACTTTGATTTCTTAATTTACAGTTAATATCATTAATTATCTGATAAGCATAGAGTAACAGTTAACACTGAGTTCCACAACAGTCCTATTTTAATGTGTTATCTATTCATCTATACATGTTAGGGCCATTGATTGTTCTTCAAATAAGCTGGTTGGCTGGTTTAATTTGAAGGAGTACATTGATTGTAAGGAAGAAAAAAAAAAATCACTACGAAAAAGCTTTCTGAAGTTTAACCCTTGAAAACCCACCACTGACTCATTTTGACTTTTTTGGGGGCGGATCTTTAGGAGGATATAGCAGGTCAACAGTGTATGCCACATACAAGACGTATACATCAGTGGTTCCCAACTGGTCCAGCCACGGGGTCCAGATTTCTCCTTAGTCATTAGTTCAGGGTCCACACAGTTTAATACATTCAGCATCGTAACTGCTTTTTGCCATGTTCCCTGCTACTTTGCTGCCTGTCAAGCAGCTTTCCATTAACCACTCACTCTACAGCAGGAAACGGCACTTCAAAATGAAAGCCCTGTGCTGGAAATTAACTGTACTCTAAAATAAATCATGTTTGTGAGTCATTTGCAGTCCATTCAGAATGGACTCCTGACCCACTTTTGGACCGCAACCCACCAGTTGGGAAGCACTGGTATACATCATCTGAAATCTGTGAACATGAAGATCAATTTTAGATGCAGCTCAGCACTGTGTGTCAAGTTTTTCTAGTCTTAAAAATGTTATGAACCTTGTATTTTGGTTGTTGCCTATCCAAACTGAATTATCAGAGTTCACAGGTGATTAGAACATTATGATAGAAGTATATGATGGACATTCCAATACTCAGTCATGTCTCATAAGTTGTTGCAACAATTTTTGCTTTGATACCATTTTTCATAGCGATTTGGTGCATAACTTTACCAACTTTTGACCACTTGAGCATTAATGAAAATGGTCAAAAATCACTCCAAAATACAGCATTAAGATACCAACACCAACACTGTGATTTGGTATCAAAAACATTTGACTTTTGGATATTTCTATATGAATTGCATTTTCCGGCGACAGGATGGTGAACATTTCTAGAAATTTCTGGCACTTCTGTTCTGGAAACAGTCTATAGGTGTACGGAACAGACAGATACTTGACAGGGCCTAAAAGAAAAACAAGCGATGCTTCAGAGAAAAACAAGACAAAGTGCCCAGCTAAAGGTAATCTACCAAAAATCAAGTCAAGAAGAAAGTATGACGAAGCTTATCTAACTCTAAGAAAGATTACATCGAAGACATGTCAATAAGCCACTCGTGTTCTTTCAGAGAAAACTCTGTAAATACGGTCAAAAGGGGAATGACAGAAAAAGTTTGAGAACCAACCACTGGTCTACCCTAAGTGGTCTTATTCTCTTTCTATATCAAATAAAGCGACAAAAACATAAACAAATTAAACTTTGACTACATTTGGAAACGTAAATCTCATTATTTAAAGAAAGCAACTATAGTAAAAGATTATGAAAATGGTGGTCTGCAGGCCATTGACTTTGAATGTATAAATGGCACTTTAAAAACAAAATGGTTAAGATTATTTTTACTGAATAATAACAGTTTTTGGTATTGTGTTCCTAGGGGTATTTTCAACAAGATTGGTGGTATTGATTTTCTTTTACATTGTGACTTTTTTGTTCAAAAATTACCTGTCAAATTATCCTCATTCCATTCACAAATGTTATTATACTGGAAGCTTCTATACAAACACAATTTCTCACCGCATGATATCCCCATCTGGAATTGTAGATTCATTCTCTTTCGAAACAAGTCCTTATTTGACAGTGACTGGATGGAAAGAGATATTTGGTCTGTCATACATTTGTTAGATGATTCTGGTGATATCTTATCTTTTGAGAATTTCTGTATGAAATTTAATATCCAATGTAAATGTAAACAATTTAATAAAGTTAATAAAAGTTTACCTGTTTCTTTTATGAGGATGGTTAAAAATACACAACCTCATCTAACTATACCTCCACATCTCCCTAAACTGATCACTGACAGTCAGGATTTCTCAGTTGAGACTTTGTCTAACAAAGTAATTCATGGTCTCTTCAAAAACGTTCTCTATCCTATGCAGTTCAGTAGGAACTCAACTTCTCAAAGTTTTTGTCTGCCTACTTTAAAGAAATTACGCACAAGTTACTTAAAATTACCTTTACCTCCAAAAGCAAAAGAACTCCACTTTAAAATATTTAATGATATATACCCTTCAGGAGAACTTATTAGACAAAGATTTAAAATTGATCACAATAACTGCATATTCTGTGATGAGGACATAGAGACCACGGATCACTTGTTTTTTTTTTCTGTGTTTATAGTAATACTTTTTGGAGTGACATGTATGATTGGCTAGAGCCAAAACTTATATCTCTCCCCCAGTTTTCAAGAAATGATATTACATTTGGAATGACAATAGAGGATAAAGACACTAACATTCTTTTGAACACTTTATTTATTCTAGGGAAATTTTTTATTCACAAATGTAAATGTATTAAAACACAACCCCTTTTTTTTCCACATGAAAAAGAAAACAGCAAAAAGTCTTCTGTACACTATTAATAACATTAGATTATTAGAAGAGGCCCCATAGCAATTTTAATTTATTTTTTTTTCATGTCTTTTTTGTTTTATTCTGTTTCCTAAGCTCCGTCTGTGTAAGAGCATATTATGAAGAATGTAACAACTGCCATATATTGTTGTAAATTGTTCTATTTTCAATTAAAAAAAAAAAAAAACCCTAAGTGGTGAGTTTTCTCTGTCCCCTGACCTCCAGCGTTACATATTAAGTAGCCACGAAGTCACGCCTCTTAAAGTCATTGCTCTCTGTTGAATTGGTTGTAAACGCGGGCAGGGAGACCTCCAGCAGAATTTGAGGGTGTACAGTTATCCCTTAAAATGTTTCTTTTCCCACTTGTTTTATGTCATTATGGTCGACTTTAACTCTCCGTGTTTTAACACCTTGTGTGCTTTGTAAATTATGCTATTACTTCTACTTACTATTCTTATTGCTGTTATGTCATCATTAGTCTTCAAATCTAGTGCAACAGTGAATGTGCCAG